GTATGTTTTAATTACAATTTGTCTTGCCTTACTACTAGATTAGTATTTTGATGATGCAATGTATTAGTAGGATTATAAATTTAAACTCCTAAAATTTTTACAGTTGTGATTGTCACCAGACGACTCTCTACAACTTGTGGCTATGTGAAAAAATATAAAAAATAAAAATAAAAAAGAGCAAAAAAAAAAAAGGAAAAAATAAATAAAAATTAAAATTAATAGGGAAGCCAATCATGTGGCGCACTCCTTATCTAAGCATGTATCTGCTATAGCAGGACGAACATTCTGGAGGGATATACTTCCTTCGTTTATTGAGCCCTTTGTGGCTAATGCAATCTAATTCATTTGGCTTTCAAAAAAAAAATAATAATAAGTACACACATGTCAACATTAGAAAAAAATTAAAATAAGGAGGCACATGTCAACATTAGAAAACACCAACATGAGCATAAACAGTCAATGCCCCACACAGGAATTTGAACCTAAAACCTCTAATTTAAGGGACCACAGGGTCCACAGCTATGTCGTTCAACCACAAGATTTTTGATATGTAATTTTAGATTTAATTAAACATTTTAACAAGTTTAGGAGATTTAAATGGAGTGTTTTTCACTTGGGGAACTCAATTACATTATGACTTAGGTGATCAATTTGACATATTTTCCAAAAGAGAAAAAAAAAAACTTAATAAGGAGTTTAGCAGCTCAAAAGACGTATACGCAATATCCCACGCACGTCAGAATGACTTAGGGGGTTAATTTACATTTTTTTCAAAAAAAAAATAGTTAAATTTTCTCTCTAAATTAAGCGAATAATGCAATTGAGCCTCTTAAGTGAGATTTGTTCCTTAAATCGAAAATATTCTCGGTCAAGTAACAAACAATTATTTAAATTAAAAAAGATAAATAATGCTAACACTTTGATATTGAGTGGCTATAGGTCCAATAAAAAAGCCCATTCGTGAACGTTACCTAAAATATTTCTGGAATCGAGCCCAAGGCCCATTACCGCGTCAAGCTTTCCATAATCAATAAGAAACAGGAATGGACAAAACATTTTCCGTTGCCGGGAATCGAACCCGGGTCTTTCGGGTGAGAGCCGAATATCCTAACCAACTAGACTACAACAGAATGCTGCTGTGTGAAGTTCAAATAACTATTAGTAAGTCAAATTATGCTGTGGAACAAGATAGACACGATTCCAAAACTGTTCATAATTATGAATGTATATTCAAAAATTATGAACATATATTTCTATAATTATGAACTTAAAGTTGTGAACATAATTATAAACATATAGTTATGTAATTATGAATATAAAAATTCAATAATTGTTAATATGAAGTTCAAAAATTATGAATATATTATTATTATTATTATTATTATTATTATTATTATTATTATTATTATTATTATTATTATTATTATACCCTTAGGTCATTTAAATGTTAATTTAAACAACTAACTTTTTAAAATATCTTTTTACCGACCGTTGATATAATTCGCTGGTCAAATCCGCTAACGCTAACCACTAACTGCTGATTGTCAAACAAGGACATTGCGAGGTAGTTTCTCACTTCAATTTCTTGTGTGATTTGAATACTCTCTTTGTCAACAATCCCTCAAGTAGTTAATATGATTGGTTTTATTAATTTAAATTTTTAAAAAAAAATTCATGGTATTAATAGAATACTTGGTAAATAAATATATAACATTATTTTGTATTATAACTTTGATATTTAATTAAAAATAGTGTACAAAAAAGATAATGGACAATGTAGTGAATATAATCAATTGATGAATTTGAATGTAAAGAATTTTTACATTGGAGAAAAATATAGACAATATAACTAATGAAATTATTTCTCTTAATTAATTTATTGATAATGAATAATTTTTTTTTAATAAAGATATTGTAGGGACAATGTAGCGAATATAATCAATTAATGAATTTGACCTTTGAATGTAAAGAATTTTTATATTGGAGAAAAATAAAGACAATATAATTAATGAAATTATTTATCTTATTTAATTTATTGATAATGAATATTTTTTTTTTTTGAATAAGGGCATTGTAGACACATAATTCTAAATTAAAGAAATGTATATGTATTATTTTTTGTTGTAGCTACTAAATTATTATTGAATTTAATAAGAGTAAAATAGAGTACTAATTATGTCAACTTTGTTTGGTTAAGATTCGAACCTTAGACCTTTCTTGTTGAAATCAATGAGTAAGTTAACGGTGAACTAACAGAAATTAATGGAAAAGATAATATTTAACGGAAAAGTTAACGGATAATCATATTCATTAAGGATAAATTAGAAAATCTCAAGGAAAAATTAAAATCTGATCAATTTGAGTCATTCATTTTATTAAAAAATTTGACCGCCATTTTTTCTATCCATTATAGACCTAACTCTTTTGGGCTCTTATTAGTATAGTAGATAGATAGTAGATATGCATGTGCATTTAACCGTGCAAATTATATTGTGGACTAGAGTTTACTATATTCATTATAATTATTATATTATGTACTTTTAAAGAATACGTACATTTAATTATAAATGAATATAATGTACATAATAATGTGTTAACTATATATATAATTTGGACCATGATTTACAGTGCTTATGACAAATTTTGATCCACTATGGATTGAAGTGGGGATAAGCTAGGTGTTGTGGTTCTATGATCAATACTTGTATGATATCACAATGCACACAACCAGCTCGTGGAAATGCTCAAATGCCACTTTTGACGAAATTGCATTTTTTTTACACACTAATTTTAAAAAGATTAATACCCAAAATGGTACCTTGACTATAGCTAAATTCACAAATTGGTCATCGACTTTTAATTTCAACCAATTAAGTCCTTAATTTTGTAATTTTAACACAATTTGGTCCTCTGTCTATTTGACCGTTTGTTGACTGTGATTTTTGAGCATATATATGTAATTTCATGGTCCATCGTCGTTTTTTTAAGGTTCTAGTTGCATTTCCAGACCGCACTGTTACATTTGACTCCATTGCCGAAAGCAATCTACCAAATCCGATCGCCTTTCTTCGTCCTCCCTTTGGATTCAATGAGTTGAGTTCGTACCAAAGCGAAGAAGACGACGTGTTTCCGAACCAGTGCAACGTCATCCTGGAAGCCTCCACGTGCTCCGGCGAGAGCTGAAGGTTCTTCTGGAGATCGTCGATCACGATCAACAAATGGTCAAATAGATGTAGGACCAAATCGTGTCAAAATTACAAAGTTAAGGACTTAATTTGTTGAAATTGAAAGTCGAGGACTAATTTGTGAATTTAGCTATAGTCAAGGGACCATTTTGAGTATTTATCTTTTCAAAACTGTGGCTAATATATATATATATATATATATATATATATATATATATATATATCATCGATCTTACTACTATTTACTCCTTGTTATTGCCTCTACTGCTATTATTGTTTCCACTTTGCTCTTAGCATTATACAATGATTTTATAATTTGTCACTTCAAGAGATGAACATGGCACTAGTACTTGGAAAATATCAAGAAAAGATTAATAAAACTTCACCTTCATTTGAAAAAGGATTGCACCATAATTTTAAAGATTTCCACTAGAATATTAAAAATAAAATTCTAGTTCACAATACCAACTAAAAGGTTAAACATGAGCTGCATTTTGCAACCCATGTATACAAGAGAGAGAACATTTATACTATACAATTCAAACTTTTCAAAAAGTGAAATTGTATATATACAAGTACAAATCAACACCTATTTAACAATGCGGGACAAATAGTACTTATAAGTCTTCCCAACTCAAATAGACGCACTTTAAGAATCAATTTCTCATTCACATCTTATCAATTTCTCATCAACTTCAATTCAACTTTATTTGTGTTGTTGGCTTAGGAGTGAAGGGTATAATTACAACCTTTTCAACCACTGGAAATGGTTTTTTTTTTTTTTTTTTTTTTTCCTGAATGGGAATTGAGAGGAATTCAGTTATTGGAGACTGGCCACAATATTTTTTGTGTCTAGAGAAAATTATTGCATAGCTAGGCTCCATGGCTAGATAGCCTGTCATATATACTTGGATGATGAAGAACTATTCCAGTCAAGAATTATGGCAAAGCTTTATGTTATGCACTCTCCACCATGTAAAAAAGAAAGGGTGTCTCCATTGAAATTGCATCACTTTTAGTGCCAAAAAGACATATTCTTTGCACCACCACAGGGCCCTCCACTTGATGACAGGACTCCCCTACACTAAGCTTCACACATATATGCATATATATATGCTTTAGATTATAAATGATCTGAGTATTCTTCTCCCCAGGTGTATATATATAAAAGCCTAAGTGCGTTTGGTTGGAAGGAAGGAATTAAGGAGGAAATGAATTGTAATTCGGTGGGAATAAAGTAGGAATTCAAATTACGTTGTTTGGTAGGGAGAAATGGAATTATTGAAATTAAGAAGGAAATAAGTGGTATAAAGACTAAAATACCCCTGTGTAATAATAATAGTACTAACAACCAAGGATAGTAATGTCATTTCATATGTTTTTCCTTTCTCAAATTCATTGAATTGCAATTCATGGGGTACCCCATGAATTGCAATTCAACAAAAGGAGGGAATTGCAATTATGTGGAATTGCAATTCCTTCCAACCAAACAATATAATTGAGGCATCCACTGAATTACAATTCAACTACATCTAAATTACAGTGAACCAAACGCCCTGAATTCTTGTGCATTAGTTAATTAGGGTCATACAAGAGAGGTAAACCACAAATCATATAACAAATCTTAGAGCATCTCTAATAAGCATAGTTTTTGAGGCATTTTTGTCATATTACAAGGAAAGAGGAGAGAGAAATCCCCCCCCCCCCCCCGCCCCCACATAAAAAAAAAAAAAAAAAAAAAAACCCTAACAGTCTGAGGGGGAAAATAGTTAAAAACATAACATTTTACGCACGCATGTTGAGCTGAACACGCTCTCAAAGCACTGGCATTTTCTCCACGCGGGGCTCCACATGTTCAATCCAAAAACCACACCTCCAGCAAGGATCTCTCATACTCTCTCTCCTCCTCCTCTCACTTCCACATAGGATTCAATGCTTCAAAAGCTTCCCCAAAAATCATTCCAAAAACACTGATGGAGATGCTCTTATGGGACGTTTCTGTATATATAATAGCCTGAAAATCATTCAGGGGAGATAAACCATACTAAGAAACCTTGTGCGAAATCACACAAGAAAAATAAATTGCACTTGGACGAATTTATGCGATGAGCTTAACTAAAAGAGTATTGGTAAGAATCAGACTCATGATCTCTAATACAAGAATTATTATGCAGCTCCACCCCATTCAGGGTTGAAAATTTTGTATTTTGGACATGTTACTAGCTAGAGTATTGGGTCACTCCTAATAACGAATTGTACGTATTATATTGGTGTGGTGATGCTCAGTTTCTGTAACTTGTTCTTTCCTTCGTATCAAAATCTTTTTTTGAGTTAGAAAAAGAAGAAAACAAAGTGACACCTAAAAATAACATCCTTTATTTATATTACAACATCCTCATTAGTTGGGAATTTAATTAATTTTCGTCCAAAATGTTGTACCCCAACCTGACAGAGCAGGCTGAACATGAACCACAGAAGCTAGACCCCCATCACTTTAAGAGGTTGTTCCCACACTGTCACTGGTGAGACTCGATCTCTGGTCATTCTTTCGAACTTTCACATCTAGGACCAGTTGAGCTGCCCATTAATTTTTGCAAAGATGAATAGGAGAGAACATGGGAGAGAGAAGTACGCGCTCAACAGGAGCATGAAGTGTACGCAGCTGGGCGCTTTTAGTGCGCTTCACGCCTAGAGTGCAACAACCTTTTTCATTTTGGTAGAAATCACTGTAGAGGTAAAAACCAGATCTCCCTGTCAAAACTTCAAATCTTCTCTCTCTTCATTTTCTCCTACATGTGCATTAAAACCTGCAAAAACCACCTAAAATCCACTATTGTGGATGTTCTTACTACACAACTCTAGGCCATTTAATTGGTTAAATTAGGAATCAAAGATTTTTAATATTCTCAACCTTTAATTTAGTGTGTTACGTTTCAAACAGAATCTTTTTTTTCTTATATACACACACTCCCTCTGTGATTAGGGTAATGAAATGTAGGTAAACAAAGAACAATACTTTTTCAAGATTGGAAGAAGAATCCTACGTCTGTTTCAGTGCCCTTTAGGTAAAAGAAAGAATAACAGACTTGCTAGTGGAGGTCATATATGGCCTGTACACCATTTATGGTGAAACAAAGGATTTTTTTTTTCCATTTTGATCTCTCCATTTTTAGTACCCATACTCTTTCATCATTATTTATCGACAATTAGTCCCTCAACTTTAAAATTCTTGTCACTTTTATAGAGTGTTTGGTCGACTGTAGTTGCAATTCAATGTTTTTCTTTGGCAACATAAATTATATTGTTTGGTTATAAGGAATTGCAATTCTCTCATTTTGTGAAATTGCAAACATGAACCACAGAGGCTGGGCCGGTGCTCACCACGCACAAGGAACTCCCCTCATCTTGAGAGGTTGCTCCCACACTGCCGCTGGTGAAACTCGATCCCTGATAATTTTTCTAAAGTTTCACTACTATGACCAGTTGAGCTGCCCATGCGGGTACTGAATTATTATCATTGTTATTATTATTACACAAGGACATGTTAGTCTTTATATCACTTCTTTCTTTCTCATTCCCAAAAATTCTATTTCTCTCCGCCAAACAATGTAATTTGAATTCCTATTTTATTCTCATCTCATTCTTTTCCCACTGAATTACAATTCATTTTTCTTCTAATTTCTTCCTCCCAACCAAACGCCCTGTTAGTTATTTTGCATGAATTTTCAGGGTAAACTATATACCGGTTTCAAATGATGTTTTGTCAAAAAAACTCGTAAAGACTAAAAGTGATGAAAACAATTCAAAATGATAGACTAATAGTAAAAAATGATAGTCCAAGAATTATATATATGTATAGAGGTAAGATCAAATGTGAACCGTTACTCCCATGGGAACAACAAACTACACAATCTAACATTACAAAATTTATAATCGTTACAAAAATGCATATTTCCAGGGTGTACGTATAATCACTTATCCGTGAATGCACATAATAGGTAATTCGCACGTTTGCACGGGAGAACTTTTACCCATCATTATATTGGTGGGTAGTCTGGCCTGGGATATGCATTCATGACTGTGTTCCATTGCTAAACTGGGGACATTCAAAGATGCTCTTCAAATCTTCAATCAATCTTTCTCCATTTTCTTCAATTCTCTCTTTCTATGGTGAAGATGAGGTGAAGAAAAAGGTCCCTCCATCATCAAATAATTCAATTCTCCCATTTAGAATCAGGAATCCACCCATCCCCTCCATATACAACAAAACAGCATCTTCCATTCCACCTTCACTAGCATATATCTCTTCCTTTATTATTATTATTATTATTATTATTATTATTTTAATTGTCCCTCTTGCATAAAGAAAAAGAGCAAGAAAACAGGTTCTTAAAGCTACTAGCTGGAGAATTGTTTATGCTTGTGGGTGGGTCAGTCAATGATATTTAGTATTATATGCTTTGTGATAAATTAAAGCAGTTTATATTCATAAATTTTAATATCATATATATATATATCATGTATTTGCAATAGGCCAGCAAATGAAAATAAAGCAAAGCTTATATACACTATTAGTACTATATATGACCACTAAGTTACTTTTCTGGAAATTAAAGAAACAAAAGAGGCTATTATGCTATAGTCTTCATTATTAGATCAATTTGGCTTCATCATCATCACATTATCCTTTTCTTTGGTCTTATTCGAGGCCCCGGAGAGCTTGCAGCAGTCGAATCTGCAGGGATCGGCCTCGATGAGCTGCTGCACGACCTCGTTCATTGTTGGGCGAAGCGCGGGCGTTCTGCAGGTGCAACGGATGGCGATCCGGAGCACCTTCATCATGTCTTCCTTGAACCATCCCGACACGCGTTTGTCCAGGGCCTCGTACGCCTCTTCCTTCGTCTCCACCTTGGTCGAAACCCAATACACAATGTTCTTGTTCTCCCCGAACTCGGCCTCCACCGGCTTCTTCCCCGTTATCACCTCCAGCAACACTACACCGAAGCTGTACACATCGCACTTGGTCGTCGCCTTTGAAGAATACGCATATTCTAATGTTAAAAACACAAACATTAGTTAGGATTATTGTCGAATTGGACTAACAAAATAACCATAAACGAGAACTGAACTAAAAGTCTAAGCTAATAGTTAGACTGCAGGTTTAGAAACAAACACTAGTTAGGATTATTGTCAAATTGGACTAACAAAATAACCATAAACGAGAACTGAACTAAAAGTCTAAGCTAATAGTTAGACTGCAGGTTTAGAAACAAACACTAGTTAGGATTATTGTCAAATTGGACTAACAAAATAACCATAAACGAGAGCTGAACTAAAAGTCTAAGCTGATAGTTAGACTGCAGGTTTAGATCGAAAACAAACATTAGTTAGGATTATTGTCAAATTGGACTAACAAAATAATCATAAACGAGAACTGAACTGAGCTAAAAGTCTAAGCTGACAGTTAGACTGACAGGTTTAGATTACCTGGAGCCAAGTAACCATATGTTCCTGCAATGACTGTGGTGGTGGAATCTTTCCCTCCTCCTCTTGCCTGCAAAACTTTGGCTATGCCAAAATCCGCAACCTTGGGATGGTAATCGACGTCGAGAAGGATGTTGGTGGACTTGATATCTCGATGAATAATCGGTCGCAGAAGATCGTGGTGGAGGTATGCTAGTCCCTGAGCGATCCCGAGACAAACCTGATACCGAGTAGGCCAATCCAAAACCATCTTCCCTTTGTGAAGAGCATCCCAGAGGTTCCCATTCGGCATGTACTCATAAACCAGCAAATTGCAGTCCAAACTGGAGAAGTAGCAATACAGCTTCACAATGTTCTTGTGTCTTATGCTGCCCAGAGTCTCAACCTCAGTTTTCAGCTCCTTATCTATCACTATCTCATCGTTATCCGACACGGGATCTTTCCCTTTTCGACTCCACAGCTTCTTCACAGCTATGGCTTCCCCGTTCCCCAGCTCGACTTTGTAAACCGTCCCGGATCCTCCATACCCCACTATGTTCTTCTCCACCAGGCCTTCGAAAATCTCTCGTTGTTCGAAGCTTAGCCTGTGGAAGCTCTTGAGATCATAGGAGAAAACTGAGGATGACAAGCTATCCTCATGGACTGTGATCTCCCTTTGTTGACTGCACCATCTTTTCAGGAATAAGACTATTCCAACTACCACAATCCCCACTGAAATCCCCACAACCCAAATCAGGTTCACCTTCTTATTCCCATCACAGGATTCAGAACAAAGTGGGAAGCTCGAATCTGATGAGTTTAAGTATCCAGGAACACAAAGTCCAGGGTTCCCCGAAAAGCTCTCGAGCACACCCCCCATTATGAAGGAGATTGGTATAACACCAGACAACATATTATTCGAGAAATTCATCGAATTTGGCAGGAGCTCACCAAGGCTTTCTGGGATACTCCCAGTTAAAAGATTGCTAGACAGATCAAGATAATTCAGGGATTTTAACGAAGACAACGAGCCTGGAATGGAGGCCGTGAACTCGTTACCTTGTAGAAGCAATACATTTAGCCTCTTCAGGTTCCCAATCTCGGATGGAATCGGGCCTGACAAGAAATTGCTGCTAAGATCAACCTTAACAAGATTGATAGCCTCAGTGATTTCAGATGGCAGAATCCCTGAAATGCTGTTGCCTTGAATAAAAAGCTCTGATAGGTTCTTAGCACTCCCAATCGTCCTCGGGATCGAGCCATTCAAGCGATTGTAGCTAACATCGATGATCGAGGCATGTGGGAGACCGAATATCCCTTCTGGGATCTTTCCCTCCAAGAGATTGTTACTAACTCTGAACCTGACAAGAGTCTGGCATCTCCCATAGCTCTCTGGGAGTTCTCCTGAGAATTTGTTCTGCAGCAAAAGAATGTAAATCAACTTACCTCCCAAGCACAGCTTTGGGGGCAACTTCCCAGAGAACTGATTCTCTGACAGGTCCAAGGCTTCCAGGGCAGACGATTCCCCGAAGCTTTGTGGCACTTCTCCAGAGAGGTAATTGGTGTAAAGAGACAGGATTCTCAGGGTGGTCGAGTTTGCAAGAGCAGCCGGGAATCCCCCCGAGAGGGTGTTGTTGTAGACCTGCAAGACTTCGAGATTGGGGAGAAGGCAAACCGAGTCCGGGATTTTGCCTGTTAGTCTATTCACAGACACATCAAAGTCCCTGAGTTGAGTCAAGTTCCCGAGCTCCTCGGGGATTTCTCCCTCGAGCTGGTTGTAGTAGAGCTCGAGAAGTTCCAGGTTCTTCAGCCTCCCCAGCTCCCCTGGAATCCTGCCCACCAGGGAATTCCCACTAAGTTCCAGGTCCACAAGGGAGGTCATGTTCCCAATTTCTCCAGGGATCCTCCCTCTCAGCATGCAGGTTGTTAAGATCAAAGATTTCAGCTTTTTCAGCCCGGATATCGCCCCCGGGAGCTCCCATGGATTAAACCCCCCGTTCTCATTGAAAACCAGCACCTCCAGGTTGGTTAAATTGGTAAAAGACATGGGGAATTCACCTGTGAAGAGATTATAGGAAAGATCAAGAGCCCTCAAAGCTTGCAGAGGGGACAAATCTGGCAATGATCCTGTGAGATTTGTAGCAGTCATGTTAAGCTCTTCCAAGAAAGAGCAGCTGGTGAGGCTTCCAGGGAACCCGCCATGGAACTTATTGTGCCCGACTCGAAGAACTCTCAGTTTCGGGAGATAAGAACACACATCTCCAGGAAATTCCCCTGAAATCGACCACCCCGACACATCAATCTTGACAACATAGTCTTTATCGTCACAAACAACCCCTCTGTACTCACACACAGCCTCTCCATCCCATCTCCCCATCAAGCTCCCAGTGAAAGACTTCTTCATGGCAGTGAAAAACTCAGACTGGTCATCCAATCTTGCCTGATAAGACCCGGATACCGAGTACAATAGCAGTAACAGGAGGATAGCAATTCTGTGAAGAGCCATTTTTTTGTTTGTCTTTTTTTGGTCTCTGGATGATGAAAATGGAGGAAAGAAGTTATGGTGGTTAAGTTGTTGGAGAGAAAGGAAGAGAAGAAATATATAAATGGGAAAGAGTGATGGCATTATTGGGTGCAATCGTGTGTATGATATAAGGAGAAAAAGAAGGTTCTTGCAATGGTGTATTGAGAGTGAGAGATGAGAAGTGCGTATCTTTGCATAAAGAAGCTAGCTTTATGTTTATACCCCCACCACTGCACCGTAGAGAATAACATCAATACAGCTCCTTTATATATATATATATACTGATCACATTCTAAATAATTTGTATGTCTCATATATACTAGAGGATGATACGTGTCGGACTCTAATCTTATGCTCGGTTTCATTTAACACCTATTTGGGTTACGTTTGGGGGTCGGGTTGCTCGGCAGTGGCCCACGGTACAGTACAAGGGTAATTTTGTACATGTACATGTACATGTTTAGAGTTGCATATAAATAGTTATATGTTGCGTGTAACCCTGAATGATCAACCAACACAATTAATAAAAGAATGGGTCTTCTGAGACCGTTGTCTCACGTGTCCTTATAATATGTGAGACGTGGTGAATCATGATGGAAATGTAATATTTTTACTGGAAACCTTATCAATTATCATGATGGAAGGAGGGAATTAAAGGGGAAAGAATTGTAATTCGGTGGAAAAAAAATAAGGTGAGAATTCAAATTCTATTGTTTGGTAGGGAAGAATGGAATGACGGAGGATTAAAAAGGAAGAGGTGAATAAAGGCTAATGTCCTTATATAATAAAAAAAAAATTAAAAATAATAATAAGGGTAAAATTGTAATTTATTGTGAAATTCCAATTCCCCTGCCTGTGGATTTGCAATTCCTGAGAGCTAGAGACCTTAGGAATTGATAAGGAATTGCAATTACCTCCAATCAAATAATGAAATTTTTATTCTATGGAGTTTGGTAGGAATGGATCGAAATTGCAATTCCATCCTACCAAACATCCCGTTAGGGTCCGGGGCAACACCCCATTGTACAGTACGTGGATAATTTTGTACATGTACATGTTTAGCCATTTAGTGTTATTACCTATCACAATTAACAAAATAACAGTTCTGCCCCACGTAAATCTTGTCTTTTTTACTTTCGGTCATTGTTATCGATTCTTGTTAAACAAAGCCTCTTGATAAGAATGATTAGAACTTTTAAGAGGCCTCAAGTGCTACAAGATCACTTGATCAATCCTCCATTCGCAGCATGGTGGTGCTTGTATTGTGTGTAGGCCTCCCTGTCTAAGCACACCATATATATAAATATAGCTCAAGTAATTTTATAAGTAATGTTAGTTAGTGGTGAAATTATTGGGTGCAGGGACCCTCACAGGGCTTTTGTCTTTCCTTCTTCCATTCATCTTGTGACATGCACTGCTCCTTTTAAAATCTACTTTAATGGTGGATGATAATTGAACATCAGATCAGAACAAACATGTGGCACTATTGTACTGCAAGTAGTTAGTACTTTAATATGGGCATTTAGTAGTGATGTGTAGTCTCAACTCAGAGAGCATCAAGTTTCAGCAGGTTGACCTTTTAGGACCATTGATTATTAACAACTAACCAGCATGGAATGGAAATATGTCTTGTTTGCTTTTGTAATATTCAGGGAATGAAGCTTAAGGAAATGGATAAATCTTGAATTACTTTTCAGCTTTTACATTATTACAATTTTATTGAATGAGGAAACTCGTAGTAAAGAATTGCACTCCAATCTCGAGAGTCTTCACTGTTTCTATCTTGGAGACAAGATAAATGAGGTAAATCGCAAACTTATTTGTATTAGTCAAACAGTTGAACTATATTCTGAGGGAAGGGCCATTTATCGATCTTGATCATATATATATATAATTGCTCTTACAGTTAAATTTTTACCCGATATCTTATGGGTCATTATTTATCTTAAAGAATTGCACCACAATCTTGAGGGTCTCCACTGTTCCTATTGGAGACAAAACAAATGAGGTAAATCATTAGCTTATGTGTATTAGTCAACCGGTTGAACTATGTTCCAGGAGCAGAAGCCATTTATGGTCAAATTATTACATCATATTCTAGAGACCATTATTTATCTTAAAGAATTACACCCCAATCTCGAGGGTCTCAACTGCCTCTATCCCGAAGACAATAAATAAAGTCCGTTCCAAACTTATTTGTATTAGTCAACCAGGCCAATTGAACTTTGTTTCGAGAGCATGACTATTTATATTGATCATATATATATATACATAGTCCTTCTTGATCTTCCCAAGAAATCACCACAAGTGAATCAAGAATTATTGGAGATCATTAGATCACTCACTCAGGTATGGGATGTTGCATATACAAGTTTTGATTGTATCATGCTGTCACTTCCTCATGCCATGGCTAGCTGCATCTATCATTCATAACCTTAAAAGCTGCAAAATCTAATCTTTGGAGGAAAGAACAACAAATTAAAGAAACCCATCAAAAACATTAAACACAATAATGAAAATTTAATTTCAAGAATGAGTAATCTGTTGACTCCATAAATTGGAATATCTACTGGATAAGAAACTCCATTGTTGACAGTGGCAGGCCATAGATGCCCACTCTTCTCAAATGTGCCACTTCAGAATCTCTTCAATTGCTACTTTTCCATTTTATTCTCTCTATTTCTTTTTCTTTTTTATTTTTCCTTTCCATGAAGTTAACAGGTCCTGGGAAGAGAATTAAAGTTGTCAATGAGAAGATATATAAAAGATGCAAAGATTTTTTAGAAATTTTTTTATTGGGAAAATTGTAATTTATACCCCTCACAAATATGTCAATTATCAATGTCACCCATGAATTATTAGTAGTGTAAATGTTGCTCCTCAATTTTAAAAACATGACATATATTGTCCCTCCCATGAATTATTACAGGGCGTTTGGTTGGAGGGATTTTAAATTCCCTTCCCACTTAATTCCCACCTAATTCCAAAGGCCATTAAATTCCGTAGTTTGGTTGGAGGGAATTGCAATTCCATGGAATTGCAATTTCCCCATTTTCATGGAATTAAAATCCCATGTCCCCCCTGGTATTTTAATTCCTGGGAAAAAAAGATAGTGATGAGTCAAAATTACCCCTACCTTTTTTAACCTAAAATTAATGTCTAACAACAATAATGGACATTTTTGACTTTATACTACTTATTCCCTTTCAATTCCCATGTATACCAAACATTGGAATTGAAATTCCCAGTAATTCTATTCCTGTCAACCAAACACTGGAATTTAAATTCCACTTTATTCCCAGTAATTTAACTCCCATGGAATTACAATTTTTTCCCCACATAATTCTCCCCCTCCACCCAAACGCCCTGTTAGTGGTGTAAATATGATTACTCGTCGTTTTCCTGTTCGAAGACCACGTCTTTTTTTTTCTCCATTTTTCTTTCTTCGTTTGTTCTCCTCCCGCCGACAACAATGTTTCTCCTTCTTCCTATTAGGGGAGGGACAATATATGTCACATTTTGAAAATTGAGAAGCAACATTTACACCAATAATAATTAAGGGATGATATTAATAATTGATATATTTGTGAATGACATAAATTACAATTTTTCCTTTTTTATAATAGGGAAAATTGTAATTTATGCCTCTCACAAATATGCCAATTATCAATGTTACCCATGAATTATTAGTGGTGTAAATGTTGCCCCTCAATTTTCAAAACGTGACATATATTGCCCCTCCCCTGAATTATTAGTAATGTAAATGTGGTTACACGTCATCTTTCTTGTTCGAAGACCACGTTTTTTTACTCAATTTTTCTTTCTTCGATTGTTTTCCTTCCCACGACAACAATTTTTCTCCTTCTTCATATTAGGGGAGGGGCAATATATGTCACGTCTTGAAAATTGATGGACAATATTTACATCACTGATAATTTAGGGGTGACATTGATAATTGACATATTTGTGAGGGGTATAAATTATAATTTTCCCTTTATAATATGTTGGTTAGGTCGCGGCCAGGAGCATGTTATTCTCTTTGATTTTCTTAATGTATTATGTGAATAAAGAGATTTTTTAAATAACTTTTTATGCTTTAGCAAGTCAATTTGTAATCATGTTTTGGAATAAATTACTCTGATTATTCTATGATTTATTCCATAATGGAGAAAGCATTCTTCCTCGTTCAAATATTTTAAATGTTTTTTTGGCATCTTGGAATTAACCCACTAAATCCATCCAAAGAAAATGCCTTATATGGAGACATATATAGTAGTATAATAATAAAAGAATATTTTCAAATGTTTTTACCCTCAAAGATCTTTTTTTAAAATGTAAAAAGTAAGTTCATGTTTATCATATAAACTGGTTGGAAAAAGAAAAGGCAAAAAATCAATTTTATTTAAGATCGTCCCGTGCAAAGCGAATAATACTTTTTAGTGAATATATAAATTTTTTTGAGTCGATATGTTTTTATTGGGTCGATTCCATGTGAAATAATCTTAAATACACAAATTTTTATAATAAAAAGTAACATGTAACAAAAATACTTTTTTTTTTTTTTTACAAAGATGTAATAATGTAAAGAGTATTGGAGAAGATCTAATCCAGTTAAACCTCATTGCAAATCGCAAATACATTTTTTTTTTTACAAAGATGTAATTGTTAGGTCCATGGAAGTCATTAAAATTGCAAATTATCACAATATTTTATAGGAAAACGACGCTTTTGACCCCTCAATTGTTTTACTTTTGGAAATTTAGTCCCTGTCAATTGATTTGAGTAAACTTAACCCTTTAATTGTTCATAATGTAGCACATTTGGTCCCTCATGTTATATAATTAGAATTATTTTTAATAACGGAGAAGAGAAAATGATTTTAATTGAAAAGAGTAAATTATGTCATTTTTTAAAAATAATAAGGATAAAGATGGAAAAAAATTTAGGAAACTAGGAGCTTATTACCGTTCCAAAACAAACTCTCATTTTAAACTAGGAGTTTATTTTAAGAATATTACCAAATAGAGCTTACAACTTATTAGTAACTTAAAGAGATCTATAAGCTCCTAAATAAGCTCTGCCAAACAGAGCATCAGTGAATTATAAGCTATCAACAAATTTGGGCCAATTGACTTTATGACCTCACAAATTTGTAGGCCCATTTCAATCAGCCTTTAAAAGAAAAAAAAAAAAAAAATCTCCACCTGTTAAAATTTGTACCTCTTCAATAATATTTCTTTTTAATTTTTTATTTTAAGCCCAAAGGCGAAAGGCCCAATTGATATATTATCAGTTGTTATATCATGGATCAGGGTTCACCTTGTACTCTGATCCTAAATTGTATATTCTTAGTATTGAAATTATAAATTTTTAGAATATAAATTGTGTTTTAAAATTTTTGAAATTTGTAAATACAATACAGAGTCATCATAAATTGTGTATTTTTAAACGGTAAATTGTAAACATTTAATATGTAATTTGTTTATCTTTGGATTCAGGTCTATTTGTCTTATATCATGGATTAAGGTTTATATTGCATTGTAAATCTTGATCAAAAAATTATGTGTCTGTCGTCAACACATCTACATGTAGTTATACCTATAAACAAATTGAAAACACAAGATAATTACAAACACATAATATGATGACTACATACACATAAATTGTTAATTAATGATTAGTAATAACTTATGTTACAAGATGCGCCAAATAGTTTATAATTCAGTACAAATAACATTTATCCATCTCTAAACTATTTAAAGTGGATATCGCCTTTCAACTACCCTTAAATATTTTATTGTGCTTCAGATTTGTATCACAAGATCAAAAGATAAGTACGCAGAAAATTTCCCATGCATTATCACTTTTATATATATATATATATATATATATATATATATATATATATATATATATATGAGTTCCACCTAACAAAACTAGTGAGTTAATCAAATGATTCAAATTAATCTTCCTAAATAATTCAGATTGCTGCGTTGTCCAAAGTGTATATAATAAGATGCTAATGAAGTTGATGGATAATATGTTTATAATAAAAAGCCAAGTTGTGAGCTTGCAATCCTTCCTCACGGACTTTGTGTTGATGCACCAAGAAAGAATATAAGTTGGGTCGAGAGATTTTCTTGAGTATTTTTAAGTAATAGATTTAGTCAATTCATGTACTTAGTAAGTACATAAATGGTCAACATAAAGTTTTGAATGAGTTAAATAATTTGTAGTCGAGTAGCAAATATTATCAACAATTATCAATAGCTAAATAAGCATAATCACAATACTATTAGAGGAAATTAGGTTTAGGTATAATGTGAAAAATCGCTGTTCATATTAGAGATTCTCTGGAATATGAGGTGTCATCATCAAGTTAAAGGTTCTTAGGTGATGCCTTGCTTGTTTTGTTGCGGCGACAGCTCCACAAACAGTGTATTTAACAATGTTGCAAAAAACGTTAGGCGCCAAGTGGGCGGCTAGCGCCTAAGCGCCGATTTTTTATTTATTTTTTATTTATTTTTTAATTAAAAATTAAAAATTTTCAAAATTTAGTAATAAAACATAAGGTTTCCATAGTTATTTCTTAGAAACTATATACGAAAGTGGTTGTAAAATTGTTCAAAAGATTGTTTAAAACATCTAAATACATAAAAAAAAAATTAAAATTAAGAGCAAAAGAAGCATTTTTTTGAGAAATTAGTGGACCAAACCGCCTTCGGCAGTTTGCGGTGCGGTGGATAGATCTCGAAAAAATACGCGATTTGAAAAAAAAAATTGTCCAAACCGGACAACCACCGAGTCAAAAGTTATACCTTCCGAAACTTTTCCCACATTTTCAACAAAAAAAAAAAAAAAAAATCGTCGAACCGGCCGGCCGCGGAGGAGGCCGCCGAGGCCATTCCTCGCGGCGGCCTCCCACCGCCTAGCGCCTATGCGTGATTTTTGCAACACTGATATTTAATGAGATTAATGATGTTTGACACGCATATTTAACAGACTTGGGCTTCTAGATTTTGAGCCACTTCTTGACCCAAATTTGTCAGTTGATTAGGTTGAAACATTTAGAGTAGATTGTTACCCAATATTCTATCACCAAGTTTGATTGATATATATTTACTTTTGTACACAACTTTCTTGGATGACCATTTTTACATCTCCTTGTGACTATACTCCTATGGAACAAAATGTAGAGAAAAAGTAATATGGCTAATATGTGATCTATCTATGCATGAGTGCAGGACTCACATTCTTTGCTGACTATAATCCCCAGCAACTTGCAAGGCTCTGCATCTTCTAGCATTTTAACCACATTCCTCATGCTTGGCCTTAGGCTAGGAAGCCTAGAAGTACACATAATGGCAATCTTTAGGACCTTCACTGCATCTTCTATGTGAGGTGCTTGGATACTTGAATCAATTATGCTTAGCACACTCTCTTTCTTCTTCAGCTTGTTGCCCACCCATCCCACAATGTCATTGTTTTCTCCATACTCTTGTTCTATTGGACTTTTCCCCGACACGAGCTCCATCAGTACCACTCCGAAGCTGTACACGTCGCTCTTCTCGTTCACTTTGTGCGTGTATCCGTATTCTGCATTGTTCATGCAACAAAAGTCATGTTTATCAGCTCATATAGGTTATTTGCAACCAAGTTGGTCAGATAACCACAAGATTACAAGTTCGACTCCCATTGGGAGTTGCTTATAGGTTTGAGCCCGTTATTAGCTAGAGATAACCTAGACTAGTTTATATTCTTATTCTTATGATCTTTTGTCACTTAGAGTCAAAAGACGGGCTTTACCCCACTTTTTCCCGGGTCACATAGAGATAACCTAGACTAGTTTACATTTTTATTCTTATGATCTTTTGTCACCTAGAGTCAGAAGACAGGCTTTACCCCACTCTTTCCCGGGTCATCTAGAGATAACCTAGACTAGTGTCCATACCTGGGGCAATGTATCCATGAGTCCCGGCAATGAGATGACTTGAATCTTTGTCCAAATCTGGCCGTATAATCTTAGCAAGACCAAAATCTGCAATTCTGGGCTTGAAATGCTGGTCCAAAAGAATATTACTCGACTTCACGTCCCGGTGAATCACCGGCCGGTCACAGCAGTGGTGCAAATACTCCAATCCCCTGGCGCCGCCGACCGCAACCTCGTACCTCGTCGGCCACCCGAACTCCGCCTTCCGGCACCCGTGCAACCGCTCCCATAAACTCCCGTTCGGCAAATACTCGTAAACCAACAGGCTCGAATCCTCGCTGGTTATGCTGCAATACAGCTTCACAACGTTAACATGTCGGATTGAGCTCAGAGTTTGGACTTCCGCCTCGAATTCCTTCGATTTCGTCCCACGTTGTTTCCCCAGCATGGATGTCGTGGACCCCACCAGCTTTCTGTCGGCGGCGCCGGAGTTCCAGATATGTTTCACCGCCAATTCTTTGCCGGTGGTTCTGACGACCACTCTGTACACGCTGCCGGAGCCGCCTTTTCCGATCAGATTCTCTTGCTTGATCCCGTCGAGGATTTCTTCTTCCGTGAAGCTCAGTAAGTGGAAAGATTTCATTTTCCAAGAATCTTCCTTTAAAGACCGCTCGCGATATTCGTTCTGAGAACTCTTCTTCTTTAAGTACAAGAAATAGGCTATTGAAATGAGGATTGCCATTGGGATAGCTAATAAAGAGAACAAAAGAGGGTGAAGATTATGAGGTTTGGAGAGTTCCCCGGAACACCGCCGGAAAAACTTGATGTTTTCACTGCAAAGACCGCTGTTTCCGGTGAAACTGCCGTTATACGCCTCGACGGAAAGAGATTCCGGTATGGGGCCGGTTAGTTGATTGTTGGAGAAATCGATGAGGTTGAGCTTTAAAGACGATAAGGTCTCTGGGATTTGACCGGAGAGTTTATTTCCCGACACGTTTAACGATGTTAATGTCGGGAGAGACCCGAGGGACGGCGGGATTTTTCCGGTGAGAGAATTCTGAGCTATGATTATGTCGCTGAGGGAGACGCAAGAGCCTAATGAATCTGGAATTGAACCGGAGAATTTGTTGTTTGATAAATGAAGGTAATCGAGCTTTTTAAGATCTCCAATAGTCGCCGGAATTTCACCTGAGAATTGATTGTTGCTCAGGTCGATTGAAACCAAGGCGGAAGCTCCAGAAATTTCCGGCGGCAAATCGCCGGAGAGTTTGTTATTACCCAGAAACAACTGCGCCAAGGCCTTTGCATTTCCGATACCGGAATTTAAAGAACCTTCAAACCCATTTTCTCTGATATCTATGATATCAAGATTAGGCAGACCCCAAATCCCGCTAGGAATTACGCCGGAAAGTGAATTCTTGCTCACCCGGAAACGCTGGAGAGTCGTGCAATTACCATAGCTTTCCGGGATTTCTCCGGTGAAGTTGTTCTGAAGAACCAAGAGCCTTCTCATCTTCCCCTGTTTGCACATCTCCGGCGGAATTGGCCCCGTGAAGAAATTCTCCGACACGTCGATCAAGTCAAACTCCGCCCACGACCCAAGCTTTAAAGGCAGTGGTCCGGTGAGTCGGTTACCGTATAGTGACAACCCAATCAGATTCTTGAACTCTCCCAACTCCGCCGGGACTTGGCCGGAAAATTGATTGTAAAAAAGCTGTAAACTAACTAGCTTATTCAAGTACCTGATTTCGGATATATCACCGGTGAGATTATTGAGTGAAGCATCCAAGAATTGGAGGTTAGAGAGGTTTCCGAACCCCACGGGGAACTTTCCGGTGAGATGGTTCCAGTAAAGCTCAAGTTGCCACAGTTTTTTAAGCATAGAAATTCCAGGAGGAATTTCGCCAGAAAGATTATTCATTGATAGCTCTAAGTTAGTAAGCTCCGTCAGATTCCCAATCCCCGCCGGGATTTCCCCTACGAGACTGCAATTGGATAAGTAGAGCCAATTCAAGCGTGTAAGCTTCACAATCCCCTCCGGCACCGGAGATTCGTCAAACGAATTATCGCCGAGACTAAGAACTTCTAGGTTAATCATATTGACAATAGAATCCCACGGGATTCTCCCGGAGAATCCACTGCGATTCATGTACAAATGCGAAATCCGATTGAGAGATGGAATCTCCGGGATTGATCCGGTGAAGAAATTATTCCCGAGGTCCAAGTATTTCAGCCCAACGCACTTATCCAACTCCCCCGCGACTTTTCCGGAAAGTTTGTTAAACCCGAGCGAGATTTTCTCCAACGACTCCAAAGAGCAAATCAAATCAAAAGGAACAGAGCCGGCGAGGCTCCGCCGAGAAAGCTCGATTTCCGCTACGGCGCCATTAGAGGCGCAGGTGATTCCGGCGAAGGTGCAGAGCGGGGTATCGGCGTTCCAGGTGTCGAACACGTCGGTGGCGGAGCTCTGGAAGGCGGACTTGATGGACAGGAGAGTCTGAAGCTCGTCGGAGGTGGCGACGGAGAAGAGAAAGAAGAAGAAGAGGGCGGTGAAGTTTGGCCGGAAAATGACGGCGGCCGCCATTGTGAGACAGTGGAAAGACGTGAGTGAGAGGAAGACGCAACAGAGTAGCTTTTAAACTTAAACGATTGCCGCCTTTCAGATGACTACTGTTTCCTTTATATTTTAGATAAATTAAATTATTTTTTGCTCCATAAATTTAAATTACATGCTAATTCTAAGTTTACTTCTATAATTATCTTAAGTTATAAATTTACCACTTAATTACTTATAATACTAGAGTCATTTTTGTCTTTAAGATAGACAAAAAAAAAAAAAAAAAAAAACACTTTTGGTCCTAATATATATGTGAAGAATGAAAATAATTATTTTTTACCATTAAAAGATAAATTTAAAATTAATGATAATTAAGTACAAATTTACACTTTTATATAATTTAAGGATAAAAAATGTAATATTTTTATAAAAGGTCAAATAGCCCCTTTACTACTCAAAAAAGTTCAATTAGTACCCCGAACTAAAAAAAAATATTCAATTTTTTTTAATTCTAATGCTCTGTATTAAAAAAAAAAAAAAAAAAAAAAAAAAGAATACTCTGTATCTAAATCCCTAAATCGCTAAGTGTCTCTTCAGCAGGAAAATCCCACACGGCAACGACAACGACAACGACAATCTTGATACGGCATCGACAACCTTTATACGACGCCAAGCTGTCGGCAATATTCATTTAACCTTCCTAGGATATTGTTCTGGTTATGGTGTAAACTTGTACACTATTGTTTCGTGGATAATGGATATATTTAAAAATTGAGTAATACTACACAATCATTTGATATATTTTCTTTCTCAAATCTTTTTATCATGACATAACATTATATGATTGGATAACTAAATTTATTGTTTAACTAGTTGTAGGTTAGTTAATTCATAAAATCACATTAGAATGGAAAATTTAAGAGAGAGAAAAAAAAACATTTTTTTTTAAATTATATAATTGATAATATATTTTTTATATATTAACATTTTGTCTAATATACTTATATACAATACCATTGCCAATGATACCATAAAAATCTTTTAAAAATACAATTTTGGACATACATAATTAGGGCTGTCAAAACGGGCCGGCCCGCCCCATTAGGCCCGCCCCATCGCGGGCTTTTCTTTTTGCGGATTTTTGCGGGCCAGCCCGCGAAGCCCGCGGGCTAGGAGATATACAACCCAAGCCCGCCCCATGCGGGCTTGCGGGCCCCGCGGGTTGGTGTTAAAATTTAAAAAAAAAATAAAAAATGTCTAATAAGCATCTTTTCTTCTTCTTCTTCTAGGATTTGTTCTTCTGTGACTGAAAGGACAACATATTGAGGCCCCTAATTTAGTCTTCAATCCCAACCTCCTCCCAGATTAACTTGGACACTATTTCATCGTACTGCGGAACATATTCCTGCATGCCAAAATGCATTTCATTAATTATAAATAAACTTTATAAGTTTAAGACAAAATAAAAACAAAAATAAAAGTTGCCTAGTGGATTAGAGATTTTTTTCTTTAGTCTTAAACAATTATATTATATTATATATAGAGAGAGACAGTAAACAGTAGTCAATTAGGATTAGGATTAGAAATTTAGGTTTTACCTCTTTTCTTTAGTCTTAAGCAGTTTCTTTACTGTTATATTATATTTTATAATTTATATATAATATAATATAATATATACAGATATTTTTTTTAAAGGGCTTGGCCCGCGGGTAGGCCCGCAACCCGCAAGGGCTATGGCCCTCCGCGGGCTAAGCCCGTTAGGCCCGCGTTTTCACGGGCCTATTTTTTGGTGGCCCTAACCCGCCCCACTGTGGGACAGGTGCGGGCCAGCCCGCGAATTTTGACCCACTTTGACAGCCCTATACATAATTATGGTGTCATGCCCGAGACCAAATATTGTGTCTTTTTTTTTTTTAGCCCTCGCCAAATATTATAAATGAAAATATCAATTAACTCATATGTTATTTTTCATTTGTAAATTTTCAGTCAAGATTTGAACAAAATGAATTAATTTCACTCAATTTAACTTCTCCATTAACCAGGACTATGTGGTCTAATGGTACCCGGGTTGAACTTCCATTTGGAAGGTTGTAAGTTCGAGCATTAATGGAGGCGTTATTAGCAACTTAATAATAATAATAATAATAATAATAATTCAATTCAATTTTAAAGTAATCAAACTACGATATAGGCATATAGCTATCAAAGACAGAGATCTTTTAGGTTGAGTACGAAATATAAAAACTGGGAGTTAGGATTAGAACATTTTGTTTGGCAGATAGAGACACATCAAGAATCGGATTTTCTCAGTGGAAATACTACATGTACTCTCATTCTATATTCTCACACTTAAAATATTGATGTAGACATTTTTATAGGGACTCACGTGAAGAAAATAACCTATCAGAGCTTGTCACATCAGAGAATAAATTTAAGTGAGTAAAATTTGAGAGTACATGTAGCAGAACTCTTTCTGAGAAGAAGACAACAATTGGAGGAAGCATATATAGGTGCCGTGACGAACCAAGAAACACCAAACTGGTCGTCTGTTCTGTTCTGTTCATCAATAGCCTTTTAATTTGGTCCTTAAAGTTATACGCATGCATAACCTCTTTTGAGTCGTTAATACAGTGATGTTTTTAGTGCACAAGTATTTGGGTTAGTACAGTTAAGGTCAAGGTAGAGTTGTTATACCATGGACAAAGTATACCTAAACGACGTATAAATTGTCTATTTTTAATAGGGAAAAGAGTCAAATAGGTCTTCAAACTTTAGCTTAAAAGTCAGTTAGGCCCCTAAACTTTTTAAAGGTGCAATTACACACATCAACAATTTATTTAGGTGCAGTGAAGCCCAAAAACAAGTTAATGATCTGCTATCGCAGGTCATTAGGGTTCAAGCCACTTTCCGGCGAATTTTTCGACAAAAAAAGAATGTGACCAGCAATTGACCCAGATTTGCCGAAAATTTCGCCGGTCACTTCTTTTGTCGAAAATTTCGCTTGTCACTTTTTTCTTTGCCGGAAATATTCGCCGAAATGTAGCCTGAACCCTAATGACCTGGGATAGCAGGTCATTAATTTGTTTTTGGGCTTCATTGCACTTAAATGAATTGTTGGTGGGTGTAATTGCACCTTTAAAAAGTTTAGGGATCTAATTGACTTTTAAGTTAAAATTCGATGACCTATTTGACCCTTTTCCCTTTTTAATATTGAAATTTTAAACGTGTAAAACATAAATTGTATTTCTAAATCAAAATACATAATAGTTGTAAGAATCGTTGGATTAAAAGCAAAAAATTCATATCAAGATATTGATAATTTATGTTGACTTTACAACTTTTAATTAAAACACATAACATTACATTTCTATTTGAAAAGTAGTTCAGTTTATTCCAATAATTCTTTTTTTATATATATTTAAAAAAAAGAATTATTGAATATAAATCATTTTTGAAAAAAAAATAGAAGAATAAATATAACTTTATATAAATAAAAAAATAAAAATAAGAAAAACATAATTCTTCAAGAAAACAAAACATATATGCTAGCAATAACATCTTAGTTGGTTAGGTGAGACTCCATGAACGTTCATTATCATATTTATATATTAAATGTTTACTGAATTTTAATTTCTCTAAACAGTTAATTTATTTTTGAATTAAATATCCAGTATTATAAAACGAGTATTTTATGCACGATGCCCAAAAGTAGGTATCCAATATTGATTCTTAATATTAATATTTTTTTATTATAAGGACAGAGGATACCCTACATATACACACTATTGTCTCAATTGAGGTTCGAACCTTACACCTCCCATTTAGAAGAGCAATCCAATTGGGAGGTGTAAGGTATTAAATATCCAGTATTAATTTATTTTTGAATTAAATATCCAGTATTATAAAACGAGTATTTTATGCACGATGCCCAAAAGTAGGTATCCAATATTGATTCTTAATATTAATATTTTTTTATTATAAGGACAGAGGATACCCTACATATACACACTATTGTCTCAATTGAGGTTCGAACCTTACACCTCCCATTTAGAAGAGCAATCCAATACCAGTGGACTACAAGCCACTTGATTGATTCTTAATATTAATATTAAGATTATATTTAAAATAATTTCAAATATAGTAAATATACCGTCTAACTGCGGACTTAAATTTTAGTTAAAATACAACAAATAATGTAATTTTTATATTGTTAAAATTGCTATCATTTTTGCATCTTTCACCATTAATTTGACACGACACAAAAAAAAAAAAAAAAAAAAAAATTAGGTTTATGTTAAATCTTTGATTGAGCATGCTTAATAAATGCTTTTCAGAAGAATATTTGTATTTCATCATGGGTTTTTTTTTTTTTTTGAAAGGTTTTTTTTTTTTCTTTAATTTGTGTCATTTTCAAGTCTATTTGTCTTTGTCTCATTGACTATAATTTGAATGAATTTCATAATATATATAGTGATGGTAATGACTTTCAAAAAAAAAAAAAAATATAGTGATGGTAATGACATTTAAATTTAGATTTATTGTCGAAAAGATTGAAACAAAAGAATAATTTTCTACTATAGTACAATTGTCATTGACTAATGACTTATGCCTATACATATATGTCAAGAACTCAAGATAGATCAATGTCTTTAGTTTTTTTATTTATTTTTTAATTTAATTTAATTTTATTTATTTACAAGAAACTCACAGTTGTGGTACTAATTGACAAAGAATTACAAGCTAAAGCGGTAAATCCCCTATCAGCTCGATCAAACTGAGAATGTCATGTCAATAGACATCTTTCACAGAGCGTCAAAATGTGAAACTTTACAATTACCAAGTGAATCACCCAACTAATCAACTAAGATAATGCCATTTTGTTTTTTTTTTTTTAATATTTTGTACTATGGTTGAAAAAATCGTTAGGCGCTCATCGGACTCTCAGGAGGCACCTAATACCTAGGGTGCCTAGGTGGCGATTAATCGGCTCCTAGGCGCCCGTGTATTTTTTATTTTTAAAAAATGTGTTTAATTTTTTTAATATTTGATA